TTATATTCAGACCAAAAATAAGAATAAAAATTGGAGTTTCATAGTACTCACTAATCAATCGAATAATGGAATTCACATTTGTTTTTTTTTCAAAAAAAGAGGATTAAAGAAGAAGAAAAACAAAGAAAAGCAATAGCCAAGAAAAAAAGTGATAAAAATGGATGAAGTAAATTGAACTTCTAAGTTGAAGAAGATGAAGATAAGGTAATTGAATTTTTGAGTTTCGATGAAAAAGATAATGGAAGAATGAATTCGTCAAAGAGAGAGCACCATCATTGATTTGCTTTGGGGGGGGGGGGAAGTTGAAATCGATTTAGGGCTATCAATGGCTCTTTTCTCTTTAATATTGGGAAGATGATGTAAATTAATTAAATAAATAATAATAAATAAATAACACGACACGTGACACTTTATAACTGGTTTATGGCAGTGAAAACACTTTCTCACGCGCCTCATGTGCGTGGTAATAACTCAAATGAGGAAATGGATCGAAATGACTCATTTACAAAAATATTAAATAGTTTTGTGGGGTGATAGGACACTTTCAAAGTTAAGGTGTCTTTATATATACGGGACAACTTTAATAGTAACTTTATGTCTTTTCTCTAAAAATATAACTATCTCTCAAAAGCCCTCTAACATCTTTTCCATTATAATTGTGAAAAATATTTTTGTAAATAAATATTTTTATACAATATATGTTATTTTTAATATTGTGAATCACATAATGCATAAGAAATAATAAAATATGTATAATTTTATTATTGCAATCCATATAATGTATAAGAAATAATCGGTGTATAACTATGCAAGCATAGCTAATACTTCCTTTATTCCTATTTATATGTCATTCTTACTAAAATTAGATGATTTTTAACAACCCCCCCCCCCCCCGTTCCTTTTAATTGTCATGATTTTCCTTTTTAGACTTAAATTAAATTATAAGAACTTTGATTAATATTTTATGATGTATTTTTTAATTATATTGATATGCTAAAAATTGTAATTTATAGTACTTTTCGTATATTTTTGAATATCTAATTTTTTTAAAAATATATTAAATTAATTTTATTTTATTTTATTTTAAAACTTAGTCAAATTAGTCAAATTAACTTTCAAAAACGCAATATGACCATTAAAAGTGGATGGAGGTATATTTGTCATTTCACAAAGTCAATGCAGAAATAACACTTATTCTTTTAGTGTGCACAAGTAAACACTTAAACTTGTGTAAAACTGAACAAATAGACACATACATCCTATGTGGCTCCTACATGGCAATTTGTGTCCTACATGGTGTCTTATGTGTATTGTGTCACATAGGACTAGTGTGTCAACTTGTTTAACTTTATATAACTTTAAGTGTCTATTTGTGCGCATTCAAAGTTGGAGGATATAAATGTAAAATAAGGTCAAATTAAAGGTCATATATATGTATTGTGTCAAAAGTCAACAACCTCATTAAATCAATATTTATATTTGTATATAATATAAAGAAGAAACATAGATAAAGTGATGTGACACTTCTCTTACTTTCATTCATATTTATCTTTTTTTTCTCCCTTTTTTGAGATTTTCTCCTTAAATATTTTCTATTAAATAAAAAATTCAATTATATTTACTATCCTAATTATATCTAAGGGATAATACATAAATGTGCCCTTTAACTTGACTTCAAATCATATTTATGCCCTTCAATTTTGGATGTGCACAAATAGACACTTAAACTTGTATAAAGTTGAACAAATAGACACATATATCCTACATGTCATTTTTTGTCCAACGTGTATTGTGTTATGTATGACTCATGTGTTTATTTATTTAAAAGTTGGATAGTTAAAGTGTTTGTTTGTACATTATGAAAGTTGGAGGTCAAAGTTAAAATTTGAAGTGAAGTTTAGAGTTTAATATGCACGATAATGTAATTCCTAATTTCAAAAAGATAGATTGATAATAAACTATACAAAAAATGTGGCAAGTACGGATAGTAATTTGAATGTACTTTAGTAGTTCTTTTTCTTATTACTAGTGTCTGGATACGCGCGACAGGCGTGTGATCATATGAATAAATAAATAATTGTGAAGACCGCTGGAAAATTCTAAAGTTATATTATATGTTATAAAATACAAATTATATGTTCTTAAAATTGATAAATATCTCATATGGTGTTTTGATTCTAAGATCCAAAATCAAAAAAACTATTTGCATATACCATTATTCATTTATTTATTCTTGCTTTATTTTTAAGATGTGTTGTATTGCATAGAGCAATTTATGTGGTAAACTTAGCAATCATCATAAAATTATAGATATCTACTTTAACAAAAAAAAATAGAAATCATGATGTACGAAGTCTATCACTCAGTGTAACTTCTACGAGATATCTTCTTTCTGATAAAAAGTAAAAGACTAGTATATCAATCTACACACATAATCTTATAAAGTAAAATAACTAAATAAAGTACAACTACAATATTAAAATGAGAAAGTGAAACATTATGTGTTATGTTAATGAAATATGTGTAAATCAGTAATATATATATATATAGATCTTTTACCGCAAAATTAATGGCAAGTAAATTAAATAACAAGTGACGTGAGTATATTCTTCGACTGAAAAAACTAATACTCCTCTGCACTAAGAAATTTCTTTGACGAATCCAACAACATCCATAATTGAAATTCTTAGACAAATCCAACAACATTCAGAACGTATTTAATAGCCTTCAACTTTGACATTGATTGAGAGAAAACTGCTGAAAGAAATAATATATTCTTCTTTAGAGTCCATAAAATGGAGAGGGGGACTTCAGGGAAATGAAAGTTATACTTGGATTTATATAATACTTTCACATTAAATGATTAATTAGTCTTTTTAGCTTCTTTTCAAGTACTTATCATTGAAAATAACATTTATTAACTATGGAATTCATTGTATTGAAATCTACAACTTTTAAGATTCTAACAATGGAAAGGTAATGTTACTATGTTTTGGTTAATATGCAACTTAAATTTTTACCTAATTGCTATCATTAATAACGTTTGTCTCTTCATTTTCTATAACGTTTATATTATTTAATTTTCATAATTGTTCAAATATTCTCAATATATTAATAGTAAAAGAAATAATTATTGCTCAATATATTTTTTAAAATAAAATAATCAAGATAACATTTTTATTTTGTATAGGGATAAAAAGGTAATTCAACTTCATATCTTGGAGCTTCCCACTTATAATATAGACATAATACATATATTGCATCCTAAACTTGACTTCAATTTATAACTGTGACCTCCAACTTTCATAATGTACAAACAAACACTTTAACTATCCAACTTTTAAATAAATAAACACATGAGTCCTACATGACATAATACACATAGGACACCACATATGACAAAAAATAACATGTAGGACATGTGTGTCTATTGGTTCAACTTTATACAGTTAAAGTATCTATTTGTGTACACCAAAGTTGAAGGGTATAAATGTAATTTAAATCCAAGTTAAATGGTACATTTATGTATTATGTATATAATATAATATGATTCATGTTTACAAGTGGATATTTTTTTTGTGAGGAAAAGTAGTTTCTTCACGGCAGCTAAAAATCCATTGGCCCTCCTTTTGAGTTTGGAGTTGGTACAGTGGACTTAATTGATTGGATTTACCTTTTTGTATATCCTTGGAAGATTGGGTAATTAAATTTATTGTCACTTTTTTTTGTGATAAACTTAAATTATTATTTTTATGTTTGGTGTGTTTATTGTTTGATTTTGTAAGTAAAATTATTATTAATTTCATCTTGTCTAAATTGTGAATTTCATTTTTATGTGCTTTATGTATAAGAAAGAAGAACTGTAGTATACAAACAAGAACTGTAGTATACAAACATAGAGCATTAAATAGAGACTATAATACTTAATTATCATAAATAAATGTTTAAAGTGAATTCATTTAGCTTTGTATATATTTTATTGGTTGATAAATAATTTTTATACAGCATGTTGATGTGATTATGTACTCTCTCCATAAATTTTGCAAGTATGTTCGTAACAATAATTCAAGAATTATTACAACTTATTCATTTTTCATCAATTGGTTGTTCAAATTCATGATACTTGGGAGACGAATGACAAAGAGGAAAGAATGCTAAAGTTGTCATGACATTGGTTCAAAAACTATCAAATATGATGCCTTAATTTTTTATTTGCATTGATTACTATGAGAAATTGAAATACATTGACTGAAATATTAATTCACATTATGCTAAAATAATCAATTGGTGATTCATTGTCCCACATCAAGCGTGAAAACATGCCACAACAAGTTGATGATTCAATGTATTAGTACTGTATTTTTTTTCTTAATTGCTTGAACTATATAATGTTTTATCTTGCCATATGGTTTTTATTTTTGGGTTTGTATATTTGTGATTTTGCGGAATATGTTCGTCGAGAATATCTCACTTTTTTGTTCAGTTTTGGTGCTTATAATATGTCCACTTATTTGACAAATATTTGTCAAACTTCTGTGTTTCATTGTGGTGTCAAATTATTTTTTATTGGTTAATTGAATTGTGTGGGTTTGGTACATAATAAAATATTTTATCCTTTCTTATGCTCTCAACATATACAGTCTTTCACATTTACAATTCAATGCGTCAGTTTGATGTATAATATCAATATTTTATTCATTACATATCACATTTTTTTTATAATCATTTGCCATTATTACATCAAATATTATACCAATTTAAATAGTTGTTTAAAGCCTTAATATTCGAGGTCGGTGTATAATACCAATATTTTTGCTACTTCATACAACTATTTGTTAAGCAGATAGTTAAATGTACTACTGTTAGTTAACAGAAGATAGTTAGTTGAAGTTAATAGATTATGAGTTAGTTAGAGGTGTCAATAATTCAGTTAGATAATTCATTATATATAGAGGATAAAGTAGCAGTTGTAAACACACTTTTAGCACCTGTAAATTTCTTCAAGCAATCAATATACAATTCTTTCATATGCACTAATCTTAACATGTTATCACAGCAATAGGGATCTAGGGTTATCTTCGTGAAAATTGGAGGTAGATCGAGAGATTCACCATGGCGATTGAGGAAGAACTGACGGGAAGCACTGCTGGTCGAGTTCAAGGAGATTTTGTCAATGGAAATTCTGTGGTAATTGACCATAATCATCCATTATATTTTAGTTCTTCTGATGTTCCTGGAGCTCTTTCTGTTGGAATTCAGCTAACAGGAATGGAGAACTACACCTTGTGGAGTCGAGCTATGAAGATTACATTGCTTGGACGAAACAAAGTGGGATTTATTGATGGTTCTGTCTTGCGGACTGATTTTGATGGTGATTTGAAGAAGATCTGGGATCGTTGTAATGTAATTATACTCTCTTGGTTAACCTGTAATGTGAGCAAGGATCTACTCAGTGGATTTTCGTATTCCTCCAGTGCGAATCAGGTATGGCTTGATCTCAAGGAGCGATTTGATAAGGTAAATGGATCTAGACTATATCAACTACATAGAAACATTTTCACTCTCACACAAGGGACTCTACAAGTTTCTTCATATTACACGAGATTGAAAATCTATGGGATGAATACGATTCAATCTTACCCCCACCTAGCTGTGATTGTAACAAGGCAGAGGAATATGTTGCACAAATGCAATACCAGTGATTACTTCAATTTCTCATGGGGCTAAATGAAAGTTATTCACAGGCTAGAGGTCAGATCTTGATGATGAGTTGCCTTCCTAATGTGAATCAGGCTTATTCCTTGATTATACAAGATGAACGTCAAAAAGGAATTGCTGGATCTGTACATGAAGAAATGGAATCTTTAGCATTGTATACTGCTAGACATTTTAGGTCACCACAACCAAATACTGGGCAGGCTTTTTGTAGGAGGAACTTCCATTCATTATTCTGTGATTTTCGTAATATGAAGGAGCATACTCGAGTTGAATTCAATAAGCTGAATAAATGTGATCACTGTAATGCTACTGAACATGTAAAGGCTGATTGTTTCCAACTCATTGGATATCCAGAATATTTCAAAGGTAAAAAAAAGGTAAATGCAGTAACAGGAGATAGTGCTATGCAGAAAACCAATGCCTTTTATGCAGGATCAAATGGCATGGAAGGCACACACAATTATGGGAGAGAAGTCAAATCGTGATATGTCTCTGATGGGAGATAAAATTACACATGATCAGTTGTTGCATATAAAGAACAAGTCTTCACCATCACGGCTCAACCAGATACTAAATGTTCTGCAGGGAAACGATAACACTTTGACTACTTAGAAGAGTGCACACATGGCAGGTAAGAATTCATACTTAAAATGGATCATAGACACTGGTGCTACAGATCATATGATACATGATCATAATAAGTTACATTCTGAGAGTAAAGTGGGAAGTATAGGAAGAGTACAATTACCTACAGGGGATTCAACCATGGTTTCACACATGGGCAGTCTTTAACTTAATGATACTGATATGATCACAAATGTTTTATGCATACCATCCTTTGAGTTTAATCTTTTGTCTGTTAACAAATTGACAAAAGAATTAAACTGCTATGTTTGATTTTTTCCTACATATTGTGTGTTTCAGGATCTCTTGTCTGGGAAGGTCAAGGGGATTGGTGAAGTTGAGGATGGATTTTATTTGTTGAATTGGGACACTAAGTCACATCAAAACAAGATTAAGTCATTGTCTGCAGCTGGATCAGGAGAAATAAATCCAGAACTGTGGCACAAGAGATTAGGACATTTTCCTATGGGAGTACTTAGGAGAATAAAATATTTCAATACATGTCGTAATTTTTCTATTGAACAGTGTATGGTTTGTCCACAAGCTAGACAAAATAGAGTTCCATTTCCTATGAGTCATACTACAGTAGATGATGTTTTCAATTTAGTTCACTTGGATGTATAGGGTCCATATAAGGTGACTACTCACAATGGAATGAATACTTTCTTACTTTAGTTGATGATAAATCTAGATGGACATGGACTTTTATGATTGCCTTGAAGTCTGATGTAATTGTTGTTTTGAGACAGTTCTTGATAATGATAAAGACACAGTTTGAGAAAGGTGTTAAAGTTTTTTAATCTGATAATGGAGGGGAATTTATTAATACCAATTGTCATGACTTATTTGTTCAACATGACATTATTCACCAAAGATCATGTTCCCATTCTCCTCAAAAAAATGGGGTTGTGGAGAGGAAACATATACACTTGCTAGAGGCTGCTCGGGCTATCAAATTTCAGGGACACTTGCCACATAGATTTTGGGGTGAATGTGTGGAAGCTGCAACATATATCATCAACAGAATACCATTGTCTGTATTAGGAAACATGTCACGATATGAGATCATGTACAACAAACAACCCAATCTTTCCCATATCAGAGTAGTAGAGTGTTTGGCATTTGCTACAAACCTAAGGAGAGATAATAAGTTTGCTCCTAAAGCTAGAAAAATAGTTTTTCTCGGATATGCTATCAATAAAAAAGGGTACACATTATTGGATATTGAGTCCAAAGTCATATTTGTTAGCAGAGATGTCATTTTTCACGAGACTGAATTTCCTTGTCAGTTCCTAGGTCTGAATAAAGATGATGATCATGAGCTTTCTGTATTTTTTTTCCATGAAGGAGATTCTGAACTAACACCTTGTGTTGTCCTTCGGAGTGCAGTGACTACTAATGTTACTGAGTGTACAGGTCCTTTCTTGTGCACTAATGATGAATACATTGGTGAGAGCACTACAGATGTTGGAGTTTTTTCAGAAGATCCAGTATTACCTTATGTTCCTGTTGTGCGGAATTTGAGATAATACGAGAAAATATAAACGCGAAAAACAAGACAACAGATTTACGTGGTTCACCAATAAATTGGCTACGTCCACGGGAAGAGAGGGAGCAGTTTTATTATGGAGAGGCAAAAACAGAATTACAGAATAGGGTTTGCCATAGCGTCTATATATAGTGCTAAGCTACGCCCTAAAAGGCTTGGGCCCAACATACAGAATCAACAGAAAATTAAGGGCCCAATACAACAACATTGTATACCGTCGGGCCGGGGCGTCTCCGCCCCCGGACCCCAGGCCAGGGGGCGCGTCGCCCCCCTGGACCCCCCGACTCGCTGACCGGGCAGCGAGACCCCCGTCCTTTCTGTTTGTAGCGGGTCCGATTCAAGGCATTCAACAGTTCCCGTCATTATTCCTGAAAATAATTCTATACCACAAGTTGCCATCAGGAAGTCTACAAGACCTGCTAAGCCTCCATTATGGAATATACTAATTATGTGTCGACACAAAAAAAAGCAGCAATTTCTTATTCCATATCTGATATACTTGACTATGATAACATATCACTTTTTTACAAAAGTTCTGTGACTAAGTTTTCTCAAGAGAGGGAATCAAATTCATATCAGGAAGCAATGCATGATCCTAGGTGGGTTGCAACTATGCAGAGTGAGATCAAAGCACTGGAAGATAATAATGCATGGGAAATTGTTAAGTTGCCACCTGATAAAAAGGAAATAGGATACAATAGGGTATATAAAATCAAATACAAGGCTGATGGTGAGTTGATAGGTTCAAGTCCAGGTTGGTAGCCAAGGGTTACAATCAGAAAGAAGGCCTGGATTATCAGGAAAAATTCTCTCCTGTTATGAAAATGGGCACTGTCAGGGCAGTCATAGCTTTAGCTGCTACACAAAACTGGTCAATACAACAAATGGATGTATTCAATGCTTTTCTTCAAGGTGACTTATATGAAGAAGTGTACATGACTTTGCCTCTAGGATTTGTCCATAAAGCTGAGCACGGGATGCGTAAACTCATCAAGTCCCTTTATGGACTCAAACAAGCTAATAGGCAGTGGAACATCAAATTGACTACAGCTCTAATTAATTCTGATTTTCAACAGAGTCATTATGACTACTTCCTATTCACAAAGCACCAGGGAAAGAGCTTAGTGATAGTACTGATCTATGTTGATGATCTATTAATTACAGGGAATGATCACACCTTAATATTGCAGACAAAGGGAATTCTTAAGGACAATTTTAAGATCAAAGAGTTAGGTGATTTAAGGTACTTCCTAGGGATTGAATTTGCAAGGAATGACACTGGAATCCTTATGCATCAAAGGAAGTATTGTTTTGAACTGATCTCAGACATGGGGTTATCTAGCTCAAGGCCTGTTGGAGCTTCTTTTGAGATAAATCACAAACTCACAACTGCAGAGTTTGATCTACAATTTCCCTCTAAAAAAAATGGAAATGACAAGCTGCTAGATGATCCCGGAGTGTATCAAAAACTAGTAGGAAGATTGTTTTACTTAACAATGACACGACCAGACATTGCTTTTGCAGTCCTGTTGCTAAGTCAATTTATGCACAGTCCAAAAACATCTCACATGGAAGCAGCAATGAGAGTTGTTAGATATGTAAAACATTCACTAGGTCTAGGTATACTCATGTCATCAAATGCTACTAATCAGTTGACTTCATATTGTGATGCAAACTGGGCTGCATGCCCAAACAATCGCAGATCTATCACATGATACACGGTTACTTATGGGGATTCTTTGATCTCATGGAAGTCGAAAAAATATAACACCATTTCACGAAGTTCAGCTGAGTCTAAATATAGAAGTATGGCCTCAACAGTTGTAGAAATTGTATGGCTGGTTGAACTTTTTGAGGAATTGGGCATATCACTGAAGCAGCTTGTGTCAATTTATTGTGACAGCGAATCTGTTGTACAGATTGCTGCAAATCTAGTCTTTCACGAGTGTACTAAGCATATAGAATTTGATTGCCACTTCATTAGAGAAAAAATTCAACTAGGCATGGTTCAACCTGTATACTTGCAAACAAGTGAACAACCTGCAGAGTTGTTCACCAAAGGACTTACTCATGTGCAGCATGGATACCTGCTTACCAAGCTAGGAATGAAGAATGTATCTTACACTCCTAGCTTGAGGGAGGATGTTAAACAGATAGTTGAATGTATTGCTGTTAGTTAACAGAAGATAGTTAGTTAAAGTTAACATATTATGAGTTAGTTAGAGGCGTCGGTAATTCAGTTAGATAATTCATTATATAGAGAGGATAAAGTAGCAATTGTAAACACACTTTTAACACCTGTAAATTTCTTCAAGCAATCAATATACAATTCTTTCATATGCACTGATCTTAACACTATTATTATGAACATGTGAACTAATTACACTTCTATTAACAATAGTATATGTACGAGAAACATTTTTCCTACTTCATACTACCATTATTATGAACATGTGAACTAATAACACTACCATCACATTAATTGTGCATATGCACGATAAATTTTCAAATATCAATGATATGATCATTAAATGATAAAAAATATCAATAAACCACTCAAAAACAATTAAAGTTGGATAAAAAAGTAATTAATATTCTTAACAAAATTTCAGAACTTTGCCAGAAAACAAAAAAAAAATTGAAATAATAATACATCGATGTTAATTTTGATAAACAAAATTGAGGTAATACAATATATCAACTGAGGTTGGTGTAGAATACCAACATTTTAGCTAATTCATACCACTATTATTGTGAGCATGTGAACCTGTTACACTAGTATTACACCAATTATGTATATGTGTTTATCACACCACTATCAAGTAATTACGATTTCTATTTTCAAATGAATGAAGATTACATCACAATATTGTATTTCATCGTTTGTCAAATTTTTCTTTTTAAGTTCTTTTACGTAATCATATATATTAGTCTTTATAGTTCAATTTTATCTACATATATATGTGAATATAAAGGTTAGCATGTATGACAAACATTCAAATACCAGTAATATGACAGTTGATTGATCAATAATATCAAAGAATCAATCAACAATAATCAAAGTTGTATAAGTGCAACTAACATTCTTAAAAAGATTTTTAAAAGTCTGTCATAAAACAACATAAAAATAATTGAAAATAATACATCATTATTAATTCTGATAAGCAAGATTGAGGCAAGTCTTTTTATTGTATCATGAGGTACCACAATTACTACAAGTGACTCCACTTGTCTTGAATTTTTCTTCGTTGAATTCCTTCTAACGGTCGTTACTTGGTAGTCTGCCTGGTTTTTTTCTTGAAATTGGTGGTATTATTATCACTTTCAAAATATGTGTTGGAATATTCCCAATGTATTCACAAGGCAATGATTCTATTGAAATTGCATAAGTATCTTGGAAATTCTTATTACTAACAATAATCTTCGCGGTCTTGTTTCTGTATCTAAAAGCTGCAACTGTATGACTACACAACATCTCATCATGTTGAAATCTTTCACAAGTACGCATGATAGTATTTAGACATAATGTAAATCTGTTGGCATCATCTGTAATTGTATGAAGATATTTTGTCGATACACGTACCTTTATTGAAAACAAATCAAATTAACAATAAAAATTGATATATTATAAAATGAATTTCTGATACTTACAAACATACGATGCGACAAATTTTGTTGTCCTTGTTATTTGCAGTTTTGATGATTTGACAAACTTAGGGACCTTGTAAAGGTACCAGGTTTCTTACTTGAGTGTTGAAGATGAAGCAAACTCAGGGACCTTGTAAAGGTACCAGGCTCTCAATGTGACGAGCCGGTTGACTGCCAGCTGGAGAAGGTACAGAAAGTAGGTGCACTCTTCCCAACGGCGTCAGAAAGTCAGACTTCTCCAACCAATGGCAAAGAGTTTAAGGAAAGAGACTTGTCCATATAAAAGTCAATTTCCTAAACATCATTAGCAGTTTTTGCAACTTGACAAAGAATATTCAAGAACACTTGCAAAGGCTATCAGAAAATAAACGGTACTGTTCAAGCAACAACAAAAATCTTTGGAGCATCTAGTGTAGTTGTTTAAGAATATATTCTCTTGGTCTTACATTGTAAACTATTCCTGAAACTATAAAGGAATCAGTGGGTAGT